AGAATCCCCCCGCACTGCCCACTCCCCCCCCCCCCGAGGGGATGGCCACACTGCAATCCATTCTCCTCCAAGGATGTTAAGACATGCACACACATGTGCCTGGCACGATTTCCAAACTGCTGGGTCCAGGACTTGAACCATTGTCAGCCATATGGGAGTCCAGCGATATAACCACTGTGTCATCTGCTGGCCCAGGAGGTTCACATTTTAAAAACAGGTAGTAACAGGGTAAGGAAACAGAAAGGAAGGAAGGCCGTGTATAACTCGTATTCTGATGGTGAAGCCTAGCTATTAGACCAGGTAGGGTAAGACAGTCCCAGCAGAGAAGCATCTGGTTACCGCTCACCTGGTGTCAAAGTTCTTTTTTTTTTTATTTTTGAGAGAGAGATTTTTGCTATAGGGCGTGTGTACTCACCAGAGAGACAGAAAGCAAGAAATCACCCCCCTGGGGGCATGGCCAGGCCACAATCTGTTCTGTCTGAATTTTGGGCATGCACGCACACCTGCCCGGCATGAGTTTTAAGCTACTGGGTCTAGGATTTGAACCGTGATCAACTATGTGGGAGTCCAACAAAGTAACCCTTATGCCATCTGCTGGTCCATGTGTTCAAGTTTGAAAAGCAAGAAACTGACAGCCAGCCACTTGTGATAATGGCTGCCCGGGTCAAGGGGAGGCACACCTTCCCATCGTCAGCTCGTCAGACTGTGCTTTGGCTCACCCCAAATTCCTGGACCATACCCAGGGGTGAGCTTCTCCATCCACAGCTCGGGTCTGTCCCCTGGTCTAGGATGTAGAGTAGACAGGCAGCCTTGACAGTGGCTGTGACATTCCTGGCAAACCTTTGCCTGGGGACTTGCAAGGAGTCGGAGCAGTGTCACACCCCGGGTTCCTTTTTGTCCTGAACTCTGCCTGTGGAGGAGCTTAATCCAGTAGAGCCAGTCATCACTGCTTTGTTTAACCCAGGGTCGCAACCTGCAGCCTGTGGGCCTGTGCAGCCTGCCAGCTGTGTGTGTAATTGAAGCGTTCTTGGCCCCGAGCCATGGTCCTCGCTCTCGTCTGTGGTCATGTTGGTGCGAAGCTGCAGAGTGGATTAGAGGTGACAGACACCATGTGACCCAGGAAACCAAAGCTAGTCACTACCTGGCCCTTCACAGGAAAAGCTTGCCGCCTGATTTCAGGAGTGCTTGCAAGCATTCAGCACCCTCTCTCCCCCTCTCTCTGCAGGAGCACTGTCCAGTAATAGCTGCAGCCTGGGTGGGCCCATGACTCTCCTCCCCAGCAGGACCGACCTGTCCGGCGTGGACATCACCATGTTGAACATGCTTAACCGCAGGGACAGCAACACCAGCACCATCAGCTCTGCCTACCTGAGCAGCCGCCGCTCCTCAGGGATCTCCCCGTGTTTCTCCAGCCGGAGGTCCAGCGAGGCCTCCCAGGCCGAAGGCCGGCCCCAGAACGTGAGCGTGGCCGATTCCTATGACCCCATCTCCACCGACGCCTCGCGCAGGTCCAGCGAGGCCAGTCAGGGCGAGGGGCTCCCCAGCCTGCTGAGCCTCACTCCCGCCCAGCAGTACCGCCTGAAGGCCAAGTACGCCGCTGCCACGGGTGGGCCACCTCCCACCCCGCTGCCCAACATGGAGAGGATGAGCCTGAAGACCAGGATGGCCCTGCTGGGGGACAGCAGGGAGCCCGGGATGGCCCTGCCGCCCGTGCCCCCACCCCGGAGATGCAGCGACGGGGGCGCACACAGCTACGGCCGACGCCTGCTGCCCCACGACACCCTGGGGACCGGCGTGAGAAGGGCCAGCGACCCTGTGAGGACCGGCCCAGACACCTTGCCCCTCCCCAGGGCTCAGCGTTTCAGTAGTCTGAACAGCTTCCACACTCCGGTTGCACCGCCATCCATGGAAAAGCGGAGCTTAGTGCTCCAGAACTACACACGGCCTGAGGGCAGCCAGCCTCGGCCCTTCCACACGTCCCCCTGTCCGCCCAGCATCACGGAGAATGTCACTCTGGAGTCCCTGACCATGGACGCCGATGCCAGCCTGAACGATGAGGACTTCCTGCCGGACGACGTGGTACAGTATTTAAATTCCCAGAACCAGGCAGGGTTTGAGCAGCACTTCCAAAACGCCGTCGCTGAGGACAGCAAAGCACCCCATGGGCCCAGCGACTTCGACCCGCCTGGGCTTTCGGACACCCAGGTCAGCCAGCGGTACCGAGCTCTGGGGCAGCCCTGCGCCCAAGGCAGCAAAAGCGACCTGCCCATCCAGTGGAACGAAGTGAGCTCAGGCAGCGCAGACCTGTCCTCCTCCAAGCTGAAATGCGGTCCCCGGCCCCCAGTGCAGCAGGCCCGAGCCCTCGGGCTGTACAGCAATGTGCTCGGTCACCCACAGAATCCGTCACGGACTGTGGCTGGCCTGGCTGGGGGCTATCAGACACTCGGGGAGAACGGCAGCTCCTACAGTGGCCCAGAGCACTTGGCGATCCACAGTGGCGGTGGAAACACATACCATGAACAGCCCTACAAGGCCCAGCAACACGGGAACTGTCTCAACAGGCAACCAGTGGCCCCCGGGGTGCTAGACGGTGCCTTTGGTGCTGGGCTTCAAGGGCCGAAGCTGAAAGGCACCACCGTGCAAGGGAGTGGGGGCCTGCTGGATTTTGGCCTGTCCATGGTGTCAGGTGAGTCAGCAGTGAATGGCATGCCGACCCAAGACCCAGTGGGACAGGGGTACCTCACTCACCAGCCTCTCAGTGACAGCACGCAGCACCAGGGGCCAGGCCGCCCCGGTCAGCAGATGCTAGGGCAGGTTGGTGCTACCTCACACATCAGCGTCTATCAAGGGCCAGAGGTCTGCCTTTCAGGGCCTCACGGCATCGGCACCCAGCCGTGTGTCAGTCTCGGGGGCGGCAGGCGCCAGGCTTTGCCAAGAGGGAGCCTCGCTGTGCAGCAAGGACAGCTCGGTGACACGAGTCAGACCTGCAGGGTGAACGGCATCAAAATGGAGGTGCAAGGACAGCCTCATCAGCTCTGTTCTAATGTGCAGAATTTCTCTGGTCAGTTCTATGACCAAACTGTGGGCTTCGGTCAGCAAGACACGAAAGCTGGTTCTTTCTCCTCGTCGGCAGCCAGCTGCCTGCTGCAGGGGGTGGGCACTGAAAACTCGGAGTTACTTTCCCCAGGTGCTAACCAGGTGACCAGCACAGTTGACAGCCTCGACAGCCATGACCTGGATGGGGTGCAGATCGATTTTGACGCCATCATAGACGACGGGGACCACGCCAGCCTAATTTCAGGGGCCCTGAGCCCAAGCATCATCCAGAACCTTTCCCATAGCTCCTCCCGCCTCACCACGCCGCGGGCGTCTCTCCCATTCCCTGGGCTCTCTGTGAGCACCACCAACATGGCTATCGGGGACATGAGTTCTTTGCTGACGTCCCTTGCGGAAGAGAGCAAATTCCTTGCAGTTATGCAGTAGGCGTTAGGATGAGAGGACTACAGACAGACGGAAAACTGTAGGCATTGGAAAGATTCAGCCGACTCTGGGCTGATTTTTTTTTTTTTTTTTAAGTTCTGTATGTATTTTAGCAATCTCATCTCACCTAACTGGGATGTGTTTCAAGTATATTCCTTTTATGGAAAAGGACTCTGAGAAACCCTAAAGTATTCTAGGGAGAAACTGTCTTCCGTTTCAGCTTTGAATCAGTATTGTGACACACGAACCACCCTCTTTTTTTTTTTTTTTTTTTTTTTTTTAAACTGTAAGCCCACCTTTTTTTT